CGCTCTTAATATGGTTGGACGTGAAACAACTATGCCTGAGACGGGTACATGTCTTTCAAACATTACGTTGTCTTCAATTCTAATCATGATACTGAGATCATTCTGGTTTTATAGCATGTGATCCGTCGACAAGTATTATGATCCAACGGACCACTATTCCAGCCACTGCGGTTAATCCTTCCACAGTCTTACCGTCGACGTCTTCTCCAGTATTCGTAGCTTCGGCCCTCACGACTAACTCTGCTGAGGCCTTATCATCGATGCCTGTCTTATCAACTCCTGACTATCAGTCGACTACCGCTTATACAAGCAAGGCAATGCACGCTATAAATGAAGCTGAATTTATTTTGGCATTTAATCCGTATGACTTGTCGCCTCATTCTGGTCAATCAAAGCTGGCCATTGTCAAGAAGAAGATGGAGTTGACGCGCTTTTTAGACTTCTCTATAGGAGGATTTGCAAGGATGTCATATGATGCCACAGCCTTAGAGCAATTCAAGCTCCTCATTGAGCGTATTGGGAATGACGATGCTGAAGTTGGATCCATTCTTCCTTCGGCACTCAGGGAACGACTCAAGGTCTTCTCCTAAGAGTTTCATATTATGTTCAATACGTATCAACAACTCTTGGGTCACGTACAAGAGATGGCCATTCCTACAAAAGTACATGAGGAGCCAACTGATGTTGTGAAGGAGGCTAGTGAGACAGTGAACGCCCGTCGCGAGTCCCTTCGAGTTATTACGGACGAAGTAAGCGTCCTTGTCGAGAACGAAAGGCGTCTTATGGCAGCCCTCGAGGAGATTCGTCGACAGCGAGAGATGAAGTTTCGTCAACAGGCAAAACTTGAGCAAGAACTGCGTTATCATGTTGGCGTTCTGAAAGGCTTGAAGCAACAGGAGCATATGCGAGTATTGAACTCCGTAATGGAACATCGTCAAAATAGAAGTGCATGTATTTCAGAGATGAGTAGACTAGAATCTCAACTGTTTTTGCTCCAACGAAGGGTTCACGATTTTCTGTCGGATAAGCCTTCTTCTCCTCAATAAAATATCCTTATTTTTATTGAGTGTCCTACGTGTGCCACGATCATTCATAACCAATTTTGATAACGGATCCCGAGCCTTACGCCTTCGTTTATGTGCACGTCATGAGTTAGTGGGCCTAACTCATTGGCCAAATAGACTAGTATAAATACCTAATAGCCGTTAACAAGCTTCATCACTTGGCCTATCATAATGGCTAACTTTTCTTTTTTCCCAACCAATGCTCAAGCTCTCCTTCGCCCAAATTGTTTTGAGAACCTTCGGAGTTTTGAACGACAAGAACGCCTTTCCCTATCCTTTATGGATTACGATGCAAAAGCTCGTCACGTGATCCTATGTCCGTATCTCAAATCAACACCTCCACCATCCATCTTTACTGAGCATTTTCTGCATCATTATAAGGAGGTTCTTCCCACTAGTCGATCTCGACTTAGCATCTCGACTTGGTCATCACCAAATTCTTGCTTCAACTCGTATCCGTGCTACGACGAACAATTCTCTCGGTGGTACCAAAGGATGAGGCCAGAAATGTCTAGCATTTGGAAAGCGGCAAAGATAGAAGATGCCTTATCACTAAGCTGTCTTTCCATAGATCCTGTGGAATATGGGCTTATCGGAGCTCTTTGCTGTCTCTGGTCATCATCGACTAATTGCTTTTTCCTGCCCCCTGGTCCGTTAACCATTACTTTGCTCGATATGTGGTCACTGACTGGCCTATCACCTTTTGTGGAATTTTATAATCAGAAGTCGTGGTCATGTCCAGATTTTTATGATATCTCTTTCGTTGATCTCTCATTTCCTGACTTTATCAAGGAATTTAGCAAGCCAGACGGACCCATAACTCCCCAAGAACATGTTGCATTTCTGCTTTGTTGGCTCTGTCGATATATCTTTTGTACCACCTCCATATCATATGGGTTTGTGGACATTGCATACGCCCTTACTCAGGGTGTTGATGTGGGGTTAGGTCGAATGGCCCTGTCTGCCTTGTACAAAGGCTTGACTGATGCACAATCTTCATTGTTTAGTGCGCATCCTGATCCTTTCATTGGTCCGCTATGGATGTTGCATGATTGGGTTCGATCATATTTCCCCCATCTATTCACGTCTTACGGTTCTACACTCGTCGACTGGTATAATGCACATAAGCAACCCATAGAGACTATTTTTGAACCTTGGAAGTTTTGTAGCGTTTTCCTCCGGTCAATTGGAGAGCTTCCAGTCTTGGAATACTTTCTGGGTATTCTGCTTACCCTGAAAGACTTCACTTTTCATATGTTTGGCGTAAACTTCGTGTGTGATTCATCGACTATACAACATGATACCTTAATATTTTGGGCAAGCATCCTTGTTCCCACCGATCTTCCACTGGAATTCACTTTTGGAGGAAGGTTTTTGATTGGCTTCGAGGCATACAACCCCTATTATTGTGCCCGTCAATTTAGATTGGTGCAAGGTATTCCTATGCCAATTGTCTACTCGATGAACTTCTCTTATCCTTCGTCTCCTCGGAATGATGCTCTATCATGCTACAATGAGGTTGCCAAATATATCCTGGGACAATTCAAGCTTATCGATAATTTCAGCACTCCGTATGGTTCGATGTCATTTAATCAATGGTGGGATGAATATAAGGTCTTGATTTTTCCTAAAAACCTAGATTCTGCCTTGTCGAGGATAACCCTGCTCCCAATGGGGTTGTTACATCCTTTTAGGAGGTTTCCTACGTCCGATATGCCCTTATCTCCGAGCACGCCATCATTATCTTTCTCTGATGTGGATGAATTTCTAAGCGAATCGATGGACGAAGTGAGCTCTACTATGGATCATTCTTTCCTTAAAACTCCTCAGGTTAACAACATTCGAGTCGTTGGGGGTAAACGTCCTTCGGTAAGCAACTTTTTTCCTCCTGCTAATCATGATGGAATTCACTCGAAGGGAGCTCAACTTTGTGAGCTCCTAAAGGAAGGGTACGACGTCATTTGCGACGTCCCAGAGATCGAAAGCAAAGTCAGGTCCTTGCTTGATTATCTGACTAATTTACCTTACCCTTTACCTTGTCGAGCTTTAGACTTTGCTCTCCATGAATTCTCTGATTCATTCGATGTAACTATGAAGGCTTTTAAAGCAGGGCTTGAATATGTTAATAACATCGAGGGCAAAGAGAAGACCTTGAGTCTTAAAGAAAAAGAGCTAGATGGGGCCCGTAAGGCCTTTGAGGCATTCCGTATTAATGAAAGCATTTCTCTGTCGACGCTCTTCGATCAAAGCAAGGCTATATTAAACCTTGAAGCGACCGTGAAGCAACTGAGCATGGAAGTGGAGGACAGCCAAGCCAGAAAAGGATGAAATCGTGGAATTAAACTGTGATCGAGAAGTCCAACTTCACAGCTTCGTCCTGAGCCTTGAACAACACTTCGCTTAGTTTACAACTAGTACCATCTTTTTCTTTCTTTTCCCATGTCATTAATGCCGAGAATAGTACTGATGTAAATATCTTTATTGCTTAGCTTTTCCTTTTATCTGAATAATCATAATCTGCGCTTGCTTTGATGACTTGTATGGCATTATTGACCGAACTACCCTCTCTTTATGCTCTCGAAAAGACGTCTGTGTACAATCTTCTGTACTTGTATTTAATGAATAAGTATGATGCGTAATCACTTTATATCGGTGTGATTTACTTCTGCTGTCGTATGGACATCCATCTGGGTAGTAGTTGAATCCCATCGGTACATGTGTAAATCATCGAACGGCTAAGAGTAATTATCGGCATGTTTTTCCCTGAATCTCGCTTCGTAACCTTCAAGGAATAAATACCCATTACTCGCAATGTTCCAATCCCTGTATCTTGGGTTGATCAATCAGATACGAGCGTGCCCACCGAGATATTCGTCACGTCAGTCAATCTTCTCGTACCGATTCGTGACGATTCGAGACTCTAGTTGCGGGCTATAAATAGTGGGCCTATTGTGATCAAGATTTCACCACTCGACTTTGAATTTTAACCCCTTATCCTCTAGAGAAATCTTCTTTCCTTTATTGTGCCGATCGTCGATGGAATCCAGTGCTTCGTCACCAACCTTGAGTGCTCGCAAGTTCAAGGCCTTATGGAAGGAGATCATCTCCTACCTGAGACTGACCTACGCTGTTCTAGTCCTCAAGCCCCAGGCGGTAGCCAAGGTCGAGAAGCTGATTCGCAAGGGGAGACCCGATGACCTGCCCTCCGATCATCCTTTCCTCGCTGACTATGAGGAATTCGTGACCGTCTTCGAGTACGGGGTGTCCCAGTTCCAGGACAATGGGAAGGCCATCCGTGCGTACTTCGTTATGGAACGTTTGTCTGAGAGCATCAAGGAGGAGGTTGAGCATGCTGATGTGGTGTACAACACACTTTATGACGTACAGGGCCAACTTCACTCTTCCCAAGAGCATCTTAAAAAATGCCGAGAGCCAATTGTTGATCGGATCCGGGGAGCGGAGAAAAGACTGAGGCGAGGAGTTCCTTGCCCCGAAAAGGATGAAATCGAGATGGACCTCTCGATGGATTCTCGTTGTGAAACCTTTGTCACCTCCGCTTCCACATCTTTAGGCCGACTGGCCGAAAAGTCGGATGAACTGGTGGAGTCCCACCTTGAACTTATCCGAGGGCTTAACAAACGGCTGTTGAACCGGGATGAGATGCTCCCCAAACTCGAGGAGGCCAACGAGCAGGCTGAAGTGGCGAATCAGCGCTTAGAAGAGCGGATGCAGCACTTCGTGGCCCGTTTTAGAGAACACGTCGGTCTCGGCCTGGGAGAGTGAAGATGGCTGGCGGGTCTAGATTCGGAAGGAAGGAAAGAAGGAAGGAAGGAAGGAAGAAGAAGAAGGAGAAGAAGAAGGAGAGCGAGGGAAAGAAGGAAACAATGTCTCTCTTTTTTTTTTTTTTTTGTCTTTTGCTTGTGAATGAAACTGGACTTACTCAGAATTTTCAGTTTCTTCTTCCTCTATGTCTCGCATCTCCCACATAGTAGGATAATACTTCTTCAAATATTTGCCGTTGATAGTACGGGGAAATTCCCTTCCGTCGATATCCATTAATCGATAAGCATTTCCGGCAAATGCTTCGGCTACCATGAATGGTCCTTCCCAGGTTGGTGACCATTTACCAAACTTTTCACTGTCCAAACTCGTTGGCAAAATGGTTTTCCAGACTAGGTCGCTAATTTCGAACTGTTTATGTTTTACATGTTTATTATATGCTTTGGCAACTCTATCTTTTGGGAGGATTAGCTTTTCCAGGGCAATCGCTCTGTTCTCTCCTAATTCATCGACGTTGGCGAACATTAACTCGTCATATTCCTCCTTGGCCAAGTTATTTTGAAGTCTGACTCGTAGGGATTGAACCGTGACTTCAACAGGGAGAACTGCCTCTTGTCCATAAGTGAGCATATATGGGCTAGTTCCGGTGGCAATCTTTTTGGACATTCTATAAGCCCATAATACAGTTGACAATAACACATCCCACTCTCTGGGATTATCCTCCAGGTGTCGTTTAATTAGTGCAATGATGGCTTTGTTGAAAGCTTCAGCTTGGCCATTGGCTTGGGCATAATAAGGAGTTGAATGAATCATTTTAATGCCTCTAACCTTAGCGAAACTAATCACCTCTTGCCCAGTAAAAACCGCGCCTTGGTCCGTAGTTATAGATTCTAGAATGCCAAATCGATGGATAATACGCTCCTCGATGAACTCCTTCACTGTCTTTTGTGTTATATTCTTATATGAGGCCGCTTCAACCCACTTGGTAAAATAGTCGGTAGTAACCAGAATGAAACTATGTTTTCTAGACGAAGGAGGGTAGATTTTTCCTATTATATCCATAGCCCAGCCTCTAAATGGACAAGGTTTGATAATAGGTTTCATTACGGCTGCAGGAACATGTTGAATGGGTCCGTACCTTTGACAAGCTTCACATTCCTTAGCATAGCTTATGCAGTCTCGGGTAATAGTTGGCCAAAAGTAACCATGTCGACGGAGTAACCACTTCATTTTTATCCCTGATTGATGGACCCCACATATGCCTTCATGAACCTCGGCCATTGCTATCACAGATTCTTGTCGTCCTAAACATTTGAGCAATAGTCCATCCACAGTCTTACGATATAACTCGTCTCCAATCATTAAATAATTGAAGGCTTTTCTTTTGAAGTTTTTATCAGTAAAGACTGGGTTATTGAGATACTCTATAAATGGGGTTCTCCAATCTTGGGTTACTATTTTGTCAACAGTCGTGTTGTCGACAAGAGTTTCTATCGACTGTGTAAACATGACTCTATTGTCCATCGATGGTAATACCTTGGTCTGAGTAATCATATGGCCAACAAGCTCTTTTGATATTTTATAACCGGAAGCCATTTGTGCCAAATCATTGGCCTCCACGTTATGCTCTCTTTTAACATAGATCAACTCAAAGTCGTCAAAGTGATTTAGGAGCTCCTTGGCCAGTGAATAATAAGATATAATATTCTCGTTAAGACACTGGTATTCCCCAGATAATTGCTTTATCACTAATTGAGAATCCCCTATAACTTTGACGAAACGTATTTTCATGTTGGCCAAGATGTTTAAGCCAACGATTAAGGCCTCATATTCGGCCTGATTATTGGAACATTCAAAATCCATTTTGAACATAAGTTTCGTTTTCTGTCCATGAGGGGATATTATCATGATCCCAGCCCCAGCAGACCCAGGGGTATTGGATCCATTGAAGTAAAGCTGCCATGGGACCATGTGAACGTATCCCTCACAGCTTTCATCTTGTGTTCCAGGATATTCTGTAATGAAATCTGCTATGGCTTGTCCTTTTATTGCTTTAAGTGGTACATAGACCAGATTTATTTCGATCAAAGCAAACGCCCACTTAGCAATTCGGCCTTTAACAATAGGCCGAGTCAACATGTACTTAATCACGTCTGTTTTACATATCACATGTACCGTAGTCGGCAACATATAATGACGTAATTTTGTACATGCATAAAACAATGACAAGCATAGCTTGTCAATCGCAGTGTATCTTGTTTCAGGATCATTCAACATCCGACTCAGATAATACACCGCTTGCTCTTTGCCTTCACTATTCTCCTGCGCCAGCATACATCCGATGGTAGTATCGGTAGCGGCTAGGTACAATTTCAATGGTTGACCCGCTCTTGGCGGCATCAATACTGGCGGATTAACCAAGTACCGCTTGACGTGGTCAAAAGTATGTTGATGTTTGTCTTCCCATACAAATTCTTCTTGACTTTTCAACTTCAACAATGGGGAAAACACCTCAAATTTTCCTGACAGGTTAGCAATAAATCGACGCAAAAAATTTATCTTCCCTAAAATCATCTAAAGTTGCTTTTTGGTTGTGGGTGGCGGCAATCCTAAGATGGCCTTAGCTTTATTCTTATCGATTTCAATTCCTCTTTGATTAACCAGGAACCCTAAGAAGTTACTAGCCCTTACTCCAAAAGCATATTTCAATGGATTCATTTTTAGGTCAAATTTCTGCATCCTAATAAAAGATTGTTCTAAATAATTTAAATGACATATCTGGTCTGATTTGACAATAATATCATCGATGTAGACTTCCATAAAGTCCCCAATCATGTCATGAAAGACGAAGTTCATGGCTCTCTGATAAGTTGCCCTTGCATTCTTTAATCCAAATGACATGACAAGCCATTCAAAGGTACCGATAGCCCCAGGACACCTGAATGCAGTTTTATGGACGTCCTCTTTAACGATGAATATTTGATTGTAGCCTGAATGACCATCCATTAATGACATAATTTCATTTCCAGAAGCCGAGTCAACTAACATATCTGCCATTGGCATCTGGTACTCATCCTTGGGCGTGGCTGCGTTTAAGTCTCGAAAATCAATGCAGACACGTAACTTCCCATTCTTTTTCTTTACCGGGACTATGTTAGACAACCATTCGACGTACCATGCCGTTCTAGTAAACCCTGCTGCTAACAATCGCTCGACTTCTTCTTTTACTTTAAGGATAACCTCCGGGGCGAATCATCTGGGCGGCTGTTTATGAGGCCTGACTTTTTTATGGGTAGTCGGTGTTCGACAACATCTCTACTTAATCCTGACATTTCTTTATAGTCCCAGGCAAAATAATCCCTATACTTCTTCAGGAGTCTTATCAACTGAGCTTTGAAATCATCATCGATCAACGAACTTATGTAAATAGGTCGATGTTCATTGCCTAGCCCAAGGTTGACTTCTTATAACAGGTCTTGAGCTTCAATTGATTTTTCAATTTCTTTTATAGGTGATTCTTCAAACTCAAGGATTCCATCGACAGCTTCTGTGGATTGTTCTGCGAGCTCGGCTTGATAGGCCGAGTACCTCTCAATGAGGTCTTTTGATAATAGAAGGTTCTCCATGGACAACCTCATTTAATTGTGCTGCCAGTTGACTCTTCGGGACCCACTCAACGATCCCTTTGTCGAAACGGCAGAATGCAATACTATTAGGGTCAACGAGAGGTGGCTTACTGATGGATATACTGTCTTCCAGTGCCAATGCATGTGTATAGGTTGTCTGTGACTTGATGTTTGCTTTGACGTATTCTACCTTATCTCCATTCCAAAATGCTAGCATCTGATGGAGAGTTGATGGTACGCATTGATTACCATGGATCCAGTCTCGGCCCAATAGCAAATTGTAAGATCCATCTGCATTAACCACACAGAAAGATGTCCCGGAAGTTTTGGTGCCAACGGTCAAGTCAGCAATGAAAATTCCTTTAACTTCGGAGACTTCTCCAGTAAAGTCGGACAATTGGATGTTCGACGGAATAATTTCCTCGTCACGCCTTCCCAGTTTCTTGTAGAAACGATATGGGATGAGATTTAGTGTAGATCCCCCGTCCACTAATACTCGAGACACCGGTCGGCCATTAACTTTTGCGTTGATATTCAGAGCCCTTAAATAGTTTGAACCCTTGGGTAGAGGTTTCTCGAATTCAACCACCTCCTCGATATCAAAGTGAAATTCTGCTTTTTCTTTTTCTTCCATTGTAATTTCTTCCATATGACCTGGCTCCACCGTCATAACCCGAAGGTTTGATGGAAGACATACTCGAACCATGCAAGAACTTAATGATGAGATTGATCTTGACAATTGTTGTGGTTCACACTATGCAGGCTTAATGTCTTGCTTTGGTGAAGATTGCTGAAGTCGACCAGATGTCGACACTTGAAGTCCTGGTTTTGTTTTCCAGACTAAGTTTCTACGTTTAGGGTACTTTGGCTTGACCTTTTGCTCTGCTATTAAGGTTGGTCTAACCTGCTTGATGTGATCTTGACTTACTTGTTGTTGGAGCTGATACTCCTTTCTTTTCCTCAGCATTCTCCTTTTTTGAGTCCGTGTCAGATTTGAACTATGATTTTGAGTTCGGCGGGCCTCATACCATTGACCTACAAGTGGGTCTCTTGGCACTTTCAGAGTTTGTCGACGTGGTGGATGAGGGTCTGTGCAAAGATCGTCTTGATTAGGGAAATTAGAACCCCATCCACTTGGCTCAATCTTCCCATTATACGAAGGTGGTGGAGCATAACTAACATAATAATCATATTTACCATTAGGCTCTCCCAAAGTACCAATAGTCGGATCATCTTTTTCGTACCTTTGCTTGAATGACTTAATAGTCTTATTACGGCTTCGACGGCCTCTATGATGATTAACACCCCTAGGAGGAGTTTGTTCATCATATGAATCAGTGAGGACCAAATCGCGGAATCCGTCGACAACTTCATTAGGCGGACGTCTTCGACTGTTGGAGTGATGTTTGTCTTGTTCCAATAGTGGTCTACATTTTTCACAAAAACGATACGGCTGATGCCCCCTGGTCTTTGTCCTTAATGACACCATCTTGCCATTACAAGAAAAGGATCGACATCAACTTCCATCGGGGGCTTACCTTTGTCCTCAGAGAATTTTATCTTCCCTTGCTTAATAGCTTCCTGGACGTTTCTTTTAAACACAAGACAGTCATTGGTGGCATGGCTCCATGAATGATGCCATTTACAGTACTTCTTTCCCGCTAATTCTTCTTTGGTGGGTATAACCTGACCCTCCGTGAGTCTGATCTGTCCGTCGGCTAATAATAAGTCAAATATTTCCTCTGTCTTATTGATATCGAAAGAATAAAAAATGGGTTCCTTAGCCTTGGACATGAGGTTGGATTTTTCTTTAACTCTTGCTAGCTTTAGAGCCTTGCAAATGTATGGCTTATCAATCACCATTTTAGCGAGAGCCACATCTGCTATATTTGCTGATTCAGTTTCATCTTCGCTCTCGTCAGCGTCAGCCCAACGAACTTCACCCCGTCGACCATACCTTTTATCTTTTTCTTGAAGGAGAGCTATGGTTGATAACTGGAACAGATCTGAATATGGTTGTCCAACCATTCTTTCTCGGATTTCAAACTTCAGTCCATTAAAAGCGAGGTCCGCAAAAGTCTTTTCAGGTAAAAGGACTAAACACTTATTCCTTGCCCTTTTAAACTTGAAAACGAACTAATCGACATATTCATTAGCTAACTGTCTCATGGTTGATAGATTTGCTACCGACAAATCCGGCACAGCTCTTTGAAATTAGCAGTGAAATAACCTCTCCATTTGTTCCCATGATGTAACCGAATTTGCAGGTAAGGCAGTATACCATGTAAACGCTGTTTTTGATGAGGATAAGGGAAATAGTCTCAACTTCCAATAATCAGCATAAGCCGCATCACCACATTGAGCCAGAAAATGATTAACATGTTCAAAAGTGCACTGATCTTCCTTTCCAGTGAACAATGTAAATTCTGGCATTTT